TTTATCTGATTTGCAGTCAGTGTTTGTATTTAAAAGGTTGCAATACAACAAAATGAAACAGAAAACAAATCTTTGCCTTTCAGGCTCTGGCTAAACAGGCAGGTTTCCTATCTACCAGGGGGTGAGCTTATCTCAGCCACCTCACAAAACCAAAGGACTTTCAGCAACCTTACAACCATCCGACTTGTAGCTCTCTGAATGCTCTCTGAGTACCAGGCCAGAGCAACATCCTGCTTCAGCCTTCCCCTTTTTATCTCACCTGAATAAGCAATTAACAATCCAGATGAGTGGCACAAAACCCGAGCTGGACTATTCAGACCCAAAGTCAACCCGAAATCCTGGTCTGCTTTCCGCTATTCCTGCACATAGGATAGAAAGCGAGGGGAAATATACCGCCCCTCAATGACCTCTCATTTCCTTATGTCACAATATATATATATATTTATATAAAATTTTACATTTAGCATACTCTTTCATTTAAAGGACAATTTCACATTAAGAAAGGTTTTTCTTTATGGACTGCAATCCCCTCTATTGTGTTTTCCCCATTGATAAATACTACTTGTAGGCCTGCTCCTGAGATCTTTACTGTACAGGCCTGTCTGACACCCTACTGCCGTTTCTTATAAAAAAGTCTTAGACCTGCAACAGCTGCATGTGTGCTACAGTCCACCTTTGTTGCTATGGATGCCCCCATTCTAGCCCATGGAAAGGCAGGAATGAAAAAGCATTTTGACGAAAAAGTTTGCTGTGCCAGTTAGGGCTGCCCAGTGAACATCTCAGGAGTGGGGCTGAATGTATTTACCTATGGGGGATCCACTATAAATCTACTAAAAAGTGACGTTGTCCTTTAAAGTGGAACTACAGGAAAACTTTTTTACTAATCTTGTGTATGTTGTGTACAAAATGAGTTACCTATAACGATGGTAATCCTAGGGCTTGATCATTGCTGTGCACTGTTAAAATAATACCTTTACTGATGCCAGATACTACTGTCAGCTGTTTTCTTCGAGTGCTGCGACTAAGTGTCCCAGCTCTAGTACAGTGTAGGGATTGTGCTATTCTTTGAATGGGCAAGGGGAGATCTTGTTGTTTACCCGCCCCATGTCTCCTTTATAAACTATACCAGGGGTGGTGAAACTACAAATCCATGTCTTTGCCTCTGGATGTCTGTGTCTTGCAATTCTTCATTGAATTTGTGATTTCACCACAGCTGGAATGCCAAGGTTGCCTACCCCTGCACTTAGGTTTGCCACCTTTTCCTCAAGAGAAATCCGAACACTCTAGCGCCGCGTGACAATTTTTTGGGGAGAATATGCAGAAGAGAGTGAGGAGAGACAGCCAGGAGAGAGAGAGAGAGAGAGAAGAGACTGCCAGGAGAGAGAGCAAAGAGAGAGCATGGAGAAACAGCCATGAGAGACAAAGGAGGGACAGCCAGGCGAGAGCCAGTGGAGAGGAGAGATGGCCAAGAGAGAAAGCAAGGGGAGACAGCCAGGGGAGAGAGCACTACATTTTAGTAGCCACTCCACTTAGGGTGGTAGGAGCTACAGAAAAAAAACGTTATTTTAATTTAAACAATTATCACGCATCAATACTTACAAAATATCTTTGAAAATGTAATACCGTGCCTTTAATACAGCTGGGAAACACTGATATAATACAGTAGAACAATTCCTGGATAAGAAGCTGAAGCATTCGGCAGCCAGCCTATGTCCCCTTTATGTATTTTGAAGGCTTGATCTATAAAGCAGACAGGAAACCGTCTTAAAATAAAGCTTTATGTTTTCAACTACCCGAAGATGGTGAAGACAAAATCTGCAGAAACACAGGGAAAAACGCCAGAGAATCAGGTATCGGATCCAGGCACATCAATGCAGAGCTGTATTCTACAGAGATCTAGGTGTAAGCATGGTAATGGCTATAGATGAGCAATTCCATCTGGATGAGGGACTTGTTTTACTCACAGCCTATTTCAGACTTAAAACACCTCCAATCTCCTGTGCAGCTTCGATCTCAAATGTCACACCACCTGGGAATGGCAGCTGCCAGACTGAAAGGCGAGCTTCCTGAGACATGAACAGGATGCTCATACACCAGTTATTGCCAGTGATAAGAACTTATGGATGACATGGGGCGGGGGTGCAGAATAAAATGGTTCTACGGGAGGTCTAGGGTAAAAAGAGAGCACTAAGTTGGGATGATAAAACGCATCCCTGATGTATAAAACAAGCCAGTTTTAGTTTATCTACCTTCAAATTATTTGCCAAGCCTGGTGGCTCAATAAGGTTGATGCACTGGAATCGCCTTAATTATAGTATCATATAGCCCAGTTGAGATTCTGTTGACCACAGCAAATCGTATGGTTAAATTAAAGCAGGACTGGTTAAGGCCAAAGTGCCCATATGAATATACACCAGTGCATGCATTTTCTACAATAAAGAGGCCCTTTTAATATCTTCAGGTTGCCAGTCTGAGACTAAAGGAGGAGGCCAAAGACAGATGAGCTGTACAGAGACAATGAAAGAGAAACAAGAGAACACTGGGCAATATGATGGCATGGTCATGGGGTGACCGAGGAGACTAGTCAAGGGGCTACCTGCAGAATAAAATTAATGGAATAAAGTTGCCAAAGGAGACTGCAGACTAAACTCATAATCAAACGTATATTTGGGGCCTTTATTTAGGGGCCTTTATTTCACTAAATCAAGCAAGGTCACAGTAACTCAAGGGTCCCCAGTTGAGTTGAAGTATACAATTTGATTAGCTTTTACAATTAACCTTATATTTATATAGCGCCAACAGTTTGGGCAGTGCTTTACAATATAAGGAAGACATTACAATCACAATACAATTCAAGACAAGATGGTAAGGAGGGCCCTGCTCCTGAGGGCTTACAATCTAAAAGGGAGGGGCAAGTGATACATGAGGAGGTAGCTGTGTGTGGATGAATTGTTTGAGAACATGATGATTGAGTGGTTAGGTTAAGGTGGGATAGGCTTCCCTGAAGAGATGAGTCTAAAGGCAGTTAGAGTGGGGGATAGACAGACAGGTTGGGATAAAGAGTTCAAGAGGATGGGAGAGACTCTAGTGAAGTCCTGGAGGCAAGCATAGGAGAAGTTTACGAGGGAGCTGGAAAACAGAAGGTCTTTTGAAGAGCGGAGTAGACGGTTAGGGTGATACTTTGAGACAAGGTTTGAGATATAGCCAGGGGCAGATTTGTGGAAGGCTTTGTAAGTCGTTGTTAATATTTTGAATGTTATCCTTTGGGCCATTGGAAGCCAGTGGAGGGATTGACAGAGGGGGGTTGCAGACACTGAGCGGTTGGCTAGGTGAATGAGTCTAGCAGCTGCATTCATGATAGACTGAAGGTGGGATAGCCTGTGTAGAGCTAAGCCAATGAGGAGGGAGTTGCAATAGAAAGTGTTTGGGTCAGGCAGGTGAATAGTAGGGCAGAACCTCCCCTTTCCTCCACATAGCTACAACTATAAGATGAAATCCCCCTCAAATGCATCACTTGCAAATATTTGCTTTTTAGTTTATCGATGCTTGTTCGTACACTACTCAGTGTGTTCTCTGATATCTCATGGTATTTCCAGAACGATTTGCTCTACGTTGAGATACTCTCAAGACTTCTAAGCACTTCAAATTATCTAGGAAATACTTAACCACATTGCTTTCATAGTGATAATTAAGGCTGGGATAATAATAGAAGTATGTGCTAATTAGCAAAATCTTGAAGTCCTGGACTCCCGGTAACCTCGGGGCTTGAACCTGCGCTCCCTGCGTATGAGCAGCAGCATAGTAAAAACCGCGCGGCCGTTCGCTCGGATAATCATTTTTCTTCAGGGATATAATGACTTAGAAATAACATTTTCATGTTATATTTTTTTCTTTTAAAGTGCAAACTTTTCATCTAAAATTACAAATCGTCTCATTTCACCTTGATGCAATCAAAAGGTGCTTCAATTAAGTGCAAATCATTATCACTAATAAGCTATGGATGATACCTGATTTATGTTGCAGAACGCAAGAGACCTACAATAACGACGTGACAATGTGGAAAACATTGCATTTAAAGTAAAGCAAAAAAGAAAATACTGTGTATGTTGTGCTTTTATTGAAGGGTATGTCCTCCTAAAACGGAGGTCTCAGTTTTGGATAGAAGCTGCTGGGTTGAGCTTCAACAACATTCTCAGCTTCACCTACCGTGTTTCCCCAAAAATAAGACACTGTCTTAGATTTCTTTTGGCTCAAAAAAACACACTAGGTCTTATTTTCGGGGTAGGTCTTTTTTTAAAAATATATAACAATCCAAAGTTAATGCAAATCCAAATTAAATAATCAAAAATGGCAAAGTTAAGAATAGGGTGATCAGGGGTGCCATACCTTTCCAAGAGCAATTTGGTAACCAGAATGAGTGAAGCGCACTTTCACTATCGATCCCTCACAGGCGGAGTGCATTTGGTATCACTTCGCCTGTGACAGGAGTCGGCGCTATAGAGGAGGCATCAGCTTATGTGGCTCTGCTCCCTCCGCTGCCGTCTCGCTTCCTCTAGCGCTGGCTTCATTGGCACCGCTGATTCTCTCCCGTGTCTCTTCAAGTTCCCCCTTATGACACCACCGGCCCAGGGAATGGTCAAAACTAGGTCTTATTTTCGGGGTAGGTCTTATATTTTAGCAATTCCCAAAAATTGTACTAGGTCTTATTATCGGGGTAGGTTTTATTTTTGGGGAAACAGGGTATCTGCTGTAGTCTTTATAAGTGGGAGACCATGAAGGACTTCTTTTGCTGTAATAACAGGAGTAAGGGATATATCAGATAGGCAATAATTGGGGGCAGGAGAGGTGGGCACGTAGTTGGACTTTAGGGAGGGCAACAACACTTTTCAAAAGCTGCAACTCAGCACATCCCATGACCATGTCTCCATGACCCACCACCCGCCCCCTCTTTAAAGTTTTTGGTCGTTGGGCTAGTTATCAGACAGTGACAAAACTCTAAGGTACAATCCTGACAGCATTGTGACCAGGGTTAAGGGATGGTACTTGTAGTGACTAGAGGTGAGCCTGGGCCTGGGGCAAACCCAGAGTTCACCTGGGTTCGGCTAAGCTGGCTCAAAACTCTGACCACCCCCTTTTTTTTTTTATAAAGTGCGCATGTATTATTTTTTCTACAAGGTGGACTTTGCCTTTAAGCTTCTAGTGAACATCTTCATGTATCACATCCGCCCTCCATTTTAGATTGTAAGCCCTCAGGGGCAGGGCCCTCCTTACAATCTGGTCTTGAATTGTATTGTGATTGTAATATCTTCCTTATATTGTAAAGCGCTGCGCAAACTGTTGGCACCATATAAATCCTGCATAATAATAATAATAGTAACATCTCTAAATAGGAGAAGATGCTAAACACGTGACCAAGACCCAGTGTGGGTCAAAATGTGTAGCTGTGTGACTGTTACAAGCTGATTTTAGATAAGACCAATGCACTGAAGTTTTAACAGATTATCAGATGTTCTGATCACCAATACAAGCTTACTTGCCAACCCGTTGAGCTCAAGAATGGTGCACTCCAGTTATATATAAACTGTCCTTTTCATGGATGGCCTTCGTTGTTTTTACCGAAGACTTACACTACAAACATTTCAGCTTTTAGTCTACCCACACAGAATGAAGACAGATTTCAGGTAAATAAACCAACCAAAGTGAAAAAAATAAAGATTTGATGACTTTTGAAGGAATCCATAACATTATATATGTGCCAGAAGGAACTGCCTTCTAGTATGCAAGCAAAAGACAGAAAAAAAAACACTCAGCGATGGAGCAATCGCCTCATTATACACCGCAAATGCAACATTTAGCAAGTTGTGGATGTCGGCAAAACCTGAGCCATCTCTTTGGCTGATGTATGGCCAGGAATCACACAGATGTACATCGGAGGAAGCAAACCAGTAAAGTGAAATGTAAACTGCATATGGAATACATATTGCACACTTAAATAGTAATTATATGGTTGAAAGCAGCATCGGCGCACCTGTACATCTAAGGCATGCGAGACCCGGACATCTGTCGACATCCACCTGCCAGGCACCTGTTCTGCTGTTTCAATGTCATTTGATTGCTGGAGATGTAGAGCCTCTTGTAGGGTAATGAGTGATTTTACATTTTACATGATTGAAAACAGGTGTTGTGAGCCTGTGCAATTTTAGGCATGAATAATTCAGTTTCTATAGAACATCTTGTTCAAACACAGTAGCGTTTTCTCGCAGACATTATATGTCAGATCGAAGGTGCATGACGATTATTTCATAAATTCACAGTTAGCTGATTTGGAGATGCTTTTAGAAGCCGGCACAGGGATCGCTCTGGAAGAAGCCTGTTTGTCTGCACTTTACCTGCCAAACGGACTGCTTTTTTTTTTTTGCTGAGCTAGGAATCTGCTTCTACTGTTTGTACAACGAAAACCTCCAGCCATGTGGCTGAAAGGAGAACTATGAGGTGAGTGAAAATCATTCATCCTCATAGTTCGAGCCGCCGTGTGGCAATAAAACTGTCACACGTCGGCTCAATATATCGGGTAGCGAGCTAACACATACCGTCGCTCGCTCACTTCTCGATCATCTCCCTGCAGAGAGCGGTGACTGTCACTCACAGCTCCCTGCAGGGATTCCCCCCCTCCCCGCTCCAAGCCTCCAGTGCTGACTGGCGGAACGGATGGGGCGGGTCCAGCTGGCTCTGCCTATGGATAGGCAGAGCCAGCTGTCAATCACGCAGCTGGGCGGATCTCGGAGGATAATGTCGGGATCCGTCCTGGCTGCGGCGCTCTCAGTATACCGCGATATACTGAGCTTTGGGTCATGGGAGGACGCTAGTTTATGTCCTCCCGTGACCCTTAAGAGAACTATGGGGAAAAGCACTGACCCCATAGTTCTCCTTCAATGCAGCTGAAATACACATGTGTGAACCTTTATACCTGCCTAGCAGCTGATATATTGTTTCATCTTACATGTATGCATGCTAAATGTTAAGTGCAACACTTACAGGTATTCATTGCCTCTCTCAGAGATCACAGGGCTCTCCATGCAATGTCTTCATCTGCTTTTCTCCCCAGAAGGATGGAGCCATCTTTGTTTAGGCATCATCTAGGGTTAGTATCTGTTTCTGAGCTGAGATGTTGGCAGGAGGGCAGTTATGTAAATCTTGGATCTAGAAGCAGATATATTGTTTCATCTTTTATGCACGCATGCTAATTGATGTTCAAGTGTAACGCTTACAGACAGGGGGCGTAGGGAGAGTCTATGGTGCAGAGCCCACCATAGACTCTCTATGGTGGGCTCTGCACGGTCTCAGGTGGGCTGGTCAAACCCTCTTACCTGTCAGCCCTTGTCCACTGTCCGCCTCCATCGCTGGGCTTCGCCTCCTCCTCCATCGCTGGTCCCGACCTCCTCCATCGTTGCCGACACCGGGCCGGGGCTTCTCCGCAGCTGCTGGCTGACACTGACTCAGCAGCGACTGTGAGGAGGAACGCGCCGCTGCACACATCACTGACAGGTTGTTTCTAGGCTGAGATGTTGGCAGGGGGGGTTGTTATGTAAATCCTGGACCTAGCAGCAGATACATGTTTTCATGTTACATGTATGCATGCTAAGTGATGTTCACGTACGTGATGCACACTTACAGGTATTCATTGCCTCTCTCAGAGATTACAATACTCTCCATAGCAATGTCTTCTTCTGTTTTTCTCTCCAGAAGGATGGAGCCATCTTTGTTCAGGAATCATCCAGCTTCTATTTCTGGACTCAGGGATGACAGCCATGGAAATCCTTCCTGCTGCTTGCAGCTGATTGATAACACTATCTCGGCCTAAGCAAAGTAAGGAACTGATCTCTGGAGGCTGTTTCCAAGAAAATTCAGGCATGGAGCAAATTAATTACCAGCGGTCTCCCAGCAGCTAATCTTTCCTCCATTACCGACTTAAGATCGCCATACACCTATAGATTATCTGCAGATTTTCTATGATCAGATGGGAAAAGTGCCACAGATTCCTCGATCTACGCTAAACTGTGTGGGTGGAGGAATCTCCCACTGGGCCAAGCTTCAGTATCTTGCTAGTCGGCCCCACTGCAGTCAAAATACCTGAGCAATGCCGGCATCCAATCAGATTGTTCAGGTATTTAGACAGCCAGCGGGGCTGACTAGCAAGATACTGAAGCTTGGCCCAGTGGGAGATTCCTCCACCCACACAGTTTAGCGTAGATCGAGGAATCTGTTGCACTTTTCCCATCTGATCATAGAAAATCTGCAGATAATGGCCAGCTTTACCGAGCTTTTTCGTGTCAGAGACTCCAGCAAGGAGAACAATGAGCGGTGATATTACCAAATCTCAAACCAAATCTCCCAAGCCTAGCAGTAAGAGACAGCAGTGCCTTAGATCTCACACTGCAGATATACAGCTACATGGCTGTAGGCACAGAACAGCCTAGGCACTCTCACATACCAGGAAGTGCTGTCCTATTTTTAAGACAAAAGGTAAATTTTTTAGGGTACTGTTTAGGCACAATTAGTATAACAAATCTTCACCTTTTGAGTTCAAGTCCATATTAAATAGGGCTCAATATACAGAAAATACACCATGAGCTTAGGATCCAAGGGGATGCACAGGGATCAATTTGAAGAAAAACTCAGGAAACTACAGCCAGTATAAGGCTCCTGCACATCAGCACTGATTTTCACCTAAGGTCCCCACACACCTTACGATAATCGTACGATAATCCACCTTACGATAATCGTACGATAATCGCGGGAAATCCCGCGATCGTACAATTATCGCAAGGTGTGTGGAAGCCGTGCGACCTCTACTACTGTAAGGCAAAACAAACGACAAACGCACTCAACAATTTGTTACCAGTTAGGACCGCACTATAAGAGGTGCCTTGGCGCGGCAGTGCGGCTTACACATCCTTTGCAGAAGACGTGTATCCAAACCTCTGTCATTGTCCTTAGTGGTGAGACAAGTTGTTTTACATGCTGGTTTGTGAGTGTGCCATGATGCCTTTCTACTGCTCTACTACTGTAAGGTCGCACGACTTTGAACTTACGGACATGTTCGAAAACCCGCCGAGCATCGTACGACGTTTGGCGGGTTTGTGGCATGTCTGTACGATAACAGCCGTACGGGCCGGTGTGCGCACGAGCACACTGCCCGTTCGGCATTGCGGTCATCGGAAGCCCGCCCCTCAGGGGGCGTGGCTTGCGATCATCGCAAGTACGATCTGCCTGTGCAAGATAGGCAGATTGTACGTTTTTTTAAGTACCTTACAACCATCGCAAGACAAAAGTCTTGCGATGGTTGTAAGGTGTGTGCCCAGCCTTAGACACAGCTTAGGCAAAGTCAATTTCACTTTAAAGGAGAACTATGAGATAAGTGATTTCCACTCACCTCATAGTTCTAGCCGACCTGTGACAATGAGACTGTCACAGGTCGGCTCAGTAGATCGGGAGGTGAGCGAACACATACCAGGTTCGCTCACCTCTCGATCCTGTCACGGCTCTCTGCCGTGACAGGGGGAGGGGCTGGATTCCCCGCTCTGATCTGCCAGCGCTGACTGGCGGAACGGACGGGGGAGGGGCGGGTACAGCTGGCTCTGCCTCTAGATAGGCAGAGCCAGCTGTCACTCACGCAGCTGGGCGGATCCCGTCATCTACGTCGGGATCCGCTCCGGCTGCGGCGTCTCAGTATCAGTGTAGCTTGCTGTATACTGAGCTTAGGGTAACGGGAGGGCGCTAGTTTGTGTCCTCCCGTTACCCTAAGGAGAACTATGGGGAAAAACACTGACCCCATAGTTCTCCTTTAAAGTCCCCCCAAACTTGATATATCTATTATGAGTGTATTTAAAGCTAAACTCTGGGCACAAAAAATCTCATTTAAATATATTGCTTAGTAGCCACAAAGGATTTACATCCACTCTGTGTGTACCAAATGCTTATGCTTATGCCATTTATTACCAGATAAACAGCTG